GACAAGTGATCGGATCGGGAAAAGGCTCTCTCGCAGAGTCGGCACTGAAAGGGACGATCGCCGGTGTGTTTGCGGAAATGTCGGGTCAGTTCATCAGATCGGGCGAACTTCCAGCCGCAGCCCTTCCAATTGCACTGATAGGGCTTTTCACCCGTATGTGTCCTCAGGTGGGCCTTCAGGTGTGAGCTCTTCGTATAGGTCTTCGTACAGCCGTCGTAAGAGCACGAGTGATGAGTGACTTTCTTACGGCCGGTGGCGCGACGTCCGCGCCTCGATTTCGGTGCGACGACTGGCGCCGCTGTGTTGGCCGGCATTGTGTTGACCGGCGGTAATGTGTGTTGCGATGAATGATATGGACTCGAGTTTGTGTAGTGTTGAATGTCTACGTGCGGCGACGCCGGCGGCGTTACTATACCTCTGATATAGGGAGCGGGCGGTGCGGGTGTATAGCTATGTTGTTGGCTGTGTTGAGGTATGACAGGCGCTACCGTTGGGTAGTGTTTGCGAGTATTTTCTGCGGAGGAATGGACGGCAACTTTGGGAACATTACTATTGGTGTTGTAATTAGTGTTTGTCTGATACGAGTGTTTCGTCTGGTTCTCGGGCGACGCCGGCGGCGATATCTGGCACTGGATTACTGTTGGCTCACTATATGGATAGTGACCCGAATTCCAGTGCAGATATGTATTGCTGTATTGATCACAATAATAGTTTGCCGATTGGTTCGGGTGTTGGGATTGAGATGTGGGCACCCATAGCATCGGGTCTTTGGCACTGTGGACCATACGGTTGGCGCACAACTGATTGGATGGTTGTGTGCACTGAATCGGCTGTAACGGCGTTGAAGTCCAAACGCTCCGTAACGTTATCAACAACGAGAGCTGCATGCCGTGGCTGACCAGCATGCATAGCAAAAGGTGGTAATCGTATTCAGACTTGATTTGATTGAATTCTTGTTTCACATAAACATCGTTTGCATTGATTTGCGGATGAGTTGTGTTGTGGTGTTGAGTGTGTGGTTGGCTTTGGTGTTGACTTTGTTGCAGAATATACCGGTGGGTCTCGGAATTGGGCACAATCTGTGCGCTATCACTGACGAGTAGCACACTCTCAATGTCCTGCCACATCTGGTCAGTAAAATAAATAATGATTAATTCGGATTTCAATATATTATAAATATTTAAATTAAATCATAATTAATTGTAATGAAAGATTCAAGAAGTTTACAATAACTCTATACTCACGTCATGAAAGTCTGTCATTTCATTATTCGTTTTGTGGACCAAATGTGACATAACTGTCTCATATGATCGTCAAATAGACGTGTTTTTTAACTTTATGAAAACAGTCAAAACAATTTACGGCAATCACTAATGTAAGAGTAAGAGCTTCCACTCCAACACTGGGCGCACCTGAAAACAAACTAAACTTCTCTCGACTGAAAGCCAACAAAAAAATGTTTAGTTTGTGTGCGAAGAGTCTGACACTCTGTCTGCCTCTACCTCTCCTCTCGATTGCCTTAACTCTCGGCTCACGAATAGGTTGTGTAACAGAGATATTATATTTAGGGATCGCTTTTTTAGCCCTAACTCAGGGAGTGTTTGTTCGCCTCTAAGGCCCACATATTCACAGCACAACTCATAGCAGAAATTCTTTCTGTTTTTTCTCTGTCGACAAAGAATTCACTGATGGAGAGAGCCGTATGAGTGGGACAGGTATGGTATGGCAGGTATGGTATGGCAGAGCGCATACAGTTTACGGGGAAAAGCAACACAAGAGTGGGGACTGAACTGGTATTGCGAGGTATGCGACGCCTCAATGCGAGGCATCCCCTCCTTCAGAGGGCCGGTCGTATGTTCGCCTCTAAGGCCCACATATTCACAGCACAACTCATAGCAGAAATTCTTTCTGTTTTTTCTCTGTCGACAAAGAATTCACTGATGGAGAGAGCCGTATGAGTGGGACAGGTATGGTATGGCAGAGCGCATACAGTTTACGGGGAAAAGCAACACAAGAGTGGGGACTGAACTGGTATTGCGAGGTATGCGACGCCTCAATGCGAGGCATCCCCTCCTTCAGAGGGCCGGTCGT